CCATTGGCCTTCTTGGCAGCCAGGGCACACTGCTGGCTCATGGTTAACCTGTCGTCCACCAGGACACCCAGGTCCCTCTCCACAGAGCTGCTCTCCAGCAGGTCCACCCCAAGCCTGTACTGATGCATGGGGTTGTTCCTCCCCAGGTGCAGGACCCTACACTTGCCTTTGTTGAACCTCATCAGGTTCCTCTCTGCCCAACTTTCCAGCCTGTCCGGGTCACGCTGAATGGCAGCACAGCCTTCTGGTGTATCTACCACACCTCCCAGTTTGGTGTCATCAGCAAACTTGCTGATGACACTGTAATTAAGGAGACTGGCATGAGCTTCATAGATCCCCTTACTGAGTCCTTAATCCAAAGATCAAACATTGTCCGTTTTTTCTGCCACGGCATGCTTTATTCATTGTATAGGGTAATGGAACTCACTCACTAGCAGCTTTCTTTGCTTTCTGTTGATGTTTAGAGAATAACTGTTTAGGTTCTGCAGACTTTTCATTGCATGCTATTCAGACCTTGTCTGAAGAAAGAATTATCAGGTCCCTTGTGGACTTTTCTATGAATGTTGAGTTAGTAGCATACAAGTGCTTTACAAACATTAATTGATTTAACTTCACATCAGTCTAGTGAGTAGCAGACTTCATGTCTTATGGGGAAAACTTGGAAAGCTCAGAAGACTAGGTGAACTTTTCACATTAATTTTCAGTATTTTTCAGTAAGCATTGGTTTATGGAGCATTACATCACTTTTTACGTTCAAATCACAGCTCCTGCTGACTTCAGCTCTAGCCCTTTGAACTTAAATTCAAACATGAGGGTCTCAAACAGAGAAAGGACAAAATAAGAAGCACCAACTGGCATACTTTGTTTAGTTTAAGTTAAATGGAATTTCCTTGTGTCGTGTAGAAACTTTGTGACAGAAACAGGAGTACAATCCAGTTCTCTTGAGCAGTGTTCATCAGTCTTCACAGTGCCACTCTTCATCCTCTTCCTGCAGACCCTGGCTTACTTGCTGTCCATGTTCCAAGTTCAACAACAAGTGAATTAGGAATCCTACAGCCATCAGTTTGCTGTTGTGCTACTACATAGTCCTCAGTCATCCTCAGAAAAGTCTCATTCTATGCACTGGAATATGGCAAGGGAGTTTATGAAAGGAATATTGTGTAATCATGTAACTAAAAATGAAGTCGTAACATGCATGAATCATATAGCTGAATTAAGTGAAACAGGTAGCCGTAATTTTGATGTCTCTTTAACTCTTTCTCTAGGCTGATCTTGTTGCTTTTAATATGTTCGTAATCACTAGCTCTTACAGCCTCTCTGGTGTTCTTCGAACAGCGATTTTAAGACTTGTAACTTCCCAAGTTCTTGAAAAGGTAGATGGGCATCATTTGAGATACTGTTGTATAAATGACTACTGATATGGGCTCTGGAGCCCATATCCGTAGTGCTGTGGCCACTTTTTGTTTCTTTGAAGGAATTAGCATCTTTTCCAGCCTGCCCTTAGTTGATCTTCTGTCTAATTTGTCTACTGAATCATCTTCTCTTTTGTGTGGTGGGTTTCAGCTTTCTATTGCTCCCGTTTCCTACCAGAGGCTCCTTGTTCAGCCAGTACCGTTAATTCCCAATGCCATTCTTCTACCTCTCCTAACTACCTGTCTCAGTCTTGTCTTCAGGGTCATGATACATATCCTCATCCACTTTCCAACTCCTGTCTTACCAGACAGCTTTTCCATCTACCCTTTCCTCTGTGGCTTCTGCCTGCTCTTCATCTGACATGCTCTGCTGCATTGCCTGGATGCCAAAAAGCAGAACAGTAAGAGCCCACACAGACAGATGGTTCTCGCTGTCAGCCCCAGTACTTGGCCCCGTATCATTACATGGAACAGTGGCAAGAGGATGATGCGTAAATTTATTGGAGTACTGAGATATATGTACTTGATGAGAAAAGAATCTTTGCAGGGTAGAACTGAAAACATTGCAGAAGCTTCCGCTGAATATGTGCTAACTGCTTTCTTTTAACATCTTATAACTTAGGAAATTAAGATAAATTGTAATGAGGCTGGGAGCAGACCATTGGCTTGATACTAGCACAATCATCCTGCCAAATTTCAGCCCCCTGCAGTAGACTGTGGCAGAACTGAGGTTATTTAACAATAGATAATTAGTTATCTTGATAATTACAGATGATTAGAGGCAAGGTTAGTGATAGTCACTGCTACCAGTCCAGCCTGGAATGTTTTCAACTCTTTCTGGAGTCAGACCATTCAAAGCAGAAACCAAAATGTTACCCAGACCCTTCAGTACTGCCATCCAGTAGCAGTAATGACTCTGGGAGGCATCTTGGTTGTGCTTAGTCTGGTTGAAGAAATCTGCAGTTAAAGTGGTAACACCAGGGTCTTTCTTGTAGGTCCTTGTATTTCAGTAATTCCTGTGACACAGGTGCAAATCCCCATGGGCTGTTTTCGCATGTTAACAAGCAGGTAAATAGAAATGCCCACTTTTATGCCCCAGGCACCATAGGACGTTGACAGTTTCTAGTCTTTAATTTAGTTATGAGATAATAGCCCTAGGAGGTCGCAGAACTGTGACAGAACAGGGAATTAAGCCATGCCCTCCCAAATCTCAGACTAAACTCCTGGGCCAGCTCTACTTTTGCACTAAAGCACTGGTCCCTACTTTTAAACAATACCATGGTGGCACTTTGTGTTGTGGAAGTTGATAAAACTCGAAGATGCGTTTTATTTTCTCAAAAGCAGCTGATAGAGTCAAAACTGAGGTTGTAAATGTGACAAATTAGGCTTTTCAAAATAAAATTCTTCTTACTTTGTCTGTTTGAACCCATGCAGTTTCAACTCATGCTTTGCCATATATAAACAAAGGTGTGTGTATTCACTAGGTATGCATAAGAACTCAGCAAACATGGGCTTAACCAGTATAACCCTTACAGTTCATGAGTCTCGGAAGGCCCGTCTCAGGGAGTCTCAGCTCATTTTAGAACTCATCAGCTTCATGTGTTGTAAGATTTATTGGAATATAAAACAATGAACTCATTTATACTTTCCTATGTGCAGTTTCTTTGGTCCCACTCTGCTGCCTTTTTTTTGACTAAGACCAAACCTGATTTATTGTATTTTGATAACATATGAACAAATTATTTCCTTGAGCAGTCTGCCCCCACCCTGGGCTAAAAAGTTGGATCTCGTTATGCGAAACCTCAGCCTTGCAAGCAGACACACTGCCTTACCAAAAGCCATGTGTTAAATTGTGTTTATATTATGTACCTGGCAACAGAGCTGATGTCCATCCTCATTATTCATGGAAAAAGGGCCTCATTAGTGGGAAGGCTTGCACTGTTGCTGAGCTACATCATTATGGTTTCAGAGTTCAGTGCCTGTCAATAGAGTGCGGATGACCTAAATACTGGTGAATTCTGGAAGGATTTTTGGCTCTGATTTAATACATACCCGTGTTATTTACAGCAGAAATAGTTATGGCTGCTGAAGAGACTGTTCTTGATAGAATAAGCTTCTGGTATTCATAGCAGATAAAATTTCTCTGCTCCTCTTTTCTTGCCTTTTAAACAGATTGCTTTCCAGTGGAGTAGGTCTGCTTGTTGTGATGCTTAGAACAAATTATTTATTAGCTTCCCTGGCTAGCCCATTGCTTTGGTTGCTATTCTCTGGTAACCTGGGCTTTGTGTGAAAACTCAGACCTTTCTCACAATCCAATGTCAGATGTAAAAAGAATGGATGCCTATGTATTTAGTCTTAGTGATGCAGTGGTTCCTCCCTAAGCCTGTCCTTTCTTTCCTTTTTTCAAATGACAGTGTTTTCCAGTGAGACTATAAGCCTTCTGGTTTGGAGGAGGAACACCTTGCACAGATTCATTCCCCTTTCACTTACCCCCTTGCAAAGAAGGAGAAAGACATGTCACCAGAGTCCCAGATTCAGAGTCCACTTGAGAAGATAATTTGAACCAAAGGATACTTAGGAAGAAAGTGGTTTTTAAATACAAAAGGTCTCAATCTGGTCTAGGCTATGATATTTCTTTATTTGATAATGACTTACTTCAAAGAATCCTACTTTAAATTAGTGTCAAATCAAAAGAAGAAACACTTTAGAAACAGTCATCTTCGTCTTGGAATACTTTTAACTCAGTGAATTCCAAACAGTTAATGTAGATAAATTAGTTCTCAAATGTAGCCTCTTCAGGGCTACTTTCCTTTCTCTAGTCCCCCTCTGTCCAATTTTCTCTTGTCCTTACAGACTTATGATAAGTAAATTCTATTTAGATGGAACTTGGAGGCATTCCTTTTATAGAGAGTTGCAGATGGAGGAGACAACTGCATGGAGCCTTCAGTTGTATTTCTCCTGCTTGTGCAAAAGCACAAGAAGTGTAACCTAATTATACTAATCTTGCTCTTTCTAATCCCCTGTAG